ATATTGGGTTATATAAAATATATTAAAATAATTATATGTTTCTTTTTATTTTTCATGTGACTATTAAAATTTCATAGTGGCTCTCATTATATTCCTATCATATATAGAGTGTCCCCCAAAAAATGTATACACACTTTAACAGCTGTAGATTCTATTACATTTTGAAAATAAAATGTATTTTCCTAAACACTCTCTTCAAAGAGTGTATACATTTTGGGGGGACATTCTATATATATTTAGACAGAGCTAATCTCAACCATGAACATTAAATGGTCATCGGGCCCGTGATTTATCAATTGATAATTTGATAAATTAAATTTTGATAATTTTGGGGGCATGAATCCCCAATTTATGTATTTTTACTTATTTATAAATTATATGCATGTACATTACTCTGCATATTATGTATATTATAAAACGCTGATAAAATGGACATTTTAAAAAGATGAAATTAAAAATAAGTAGAATTCATTGTATTCATTTCCTCCTAGAGCCTATAGCTTACTTTGTCAACTTGGAGCATGTTCATAACATTTTGGAAACTCCTGCACTACACTTAGAGCTCTTAGAGGGCAGAGATTTTAATTCACGTATGCTCTCCCACGTTATTGAACGTAGCACCAAACCTACATACACTTCATGCTCAAAAAATGTTTGTGTCAGGAATCAATAGCTCTTAATATGCAATAATTTTTTGGTGGATTGGATTATTTCTTTATTTCACATATATTGAGCACTTTCTAGGTGCTCAGTACTATAATATAATAGGTGCTGAAAAGTAAGTTTAAGAAGTCCTGGCTCGTGTTGATCAGTGGTTACAGCATCGGCCTGCACACCAAAGGGTGTCAGGTTTGGTTCCCAGTCAAGTATCTGGGTTTCAGTTCTCTCCCTGCCCCTGGTTGAGGAGCATGTGGGAGGCAACACATTGATGTTTCTCTCTCTCTCTCTCTCTCTCTCTCTCTCTCTCTCTCTCTCTCTCTCCCTTCCTCCTCCTCCTCCTCCTCCTTCTTCTTCTTCCTCTTCTTCTTCTTCTTCTTCTTCTTCTTCTTCTTCTTCTTCTTCTCCTCCTCCTCCTCCTCCTCCTCCTCCTCCTCCTCCTCCTCCTCCTCCTCCTCCTCCTCCTTCTTCTTCTTCTTCTTCTTCTTCTTCTTCTTCTTCTTCTTCCACTCTCTCTGAAAAAGCAATAGAAAAAATATCCTCAGGTGAGGATTAAAAAAAAAAAAGTTTAAGAAAATTCAGCCCCTTTGACCAGTGCTTCTCAAACTTGAGTACGTGTAAGAATCACCTCCAGGGCTTGTTAGACAGATTCCTGCCTGAACGTCCACGAGATTCGGATTCAGTGGGCCTGGGATAGAACTTGAGACTCTGCATTTCTAAGACACTTCTATGAAACTACCCTGAGGAGGAGACTGATATGCATTGAAATTGGAAATGCATCCCAAATATTATGTGAGGATGGGGCTAGGGAAAGAGAATGAACATATATTAAACTTTTACTGTTTGCAAAGAACTTTTAAATATGTAACCAACTTCGTTTAACCCTCACCACAACTTGGTAAGGCATATATTATCTTCATGTTCAGTTGAGGCAACTGAGATGCAGGTTAGTTAAATTACCTAAGTCATAGAGCTAGTAAATAGCAGAGCTTAGATTGGTACCTACTTCTCTGCACTGAAAAACTCATAAAAATATTTAGTGTGTCTTCATGTTTTAGACACTGCCTTGGGAACCAGGCATGCAACACTGAATGGGACAGACAAGCTCTCTGTCTTGGTCAAACTCAGTAAACAATTAAAATACAGAGTTTTCAGTGCTATGAGGGAGGCAGCGCAATGGAGCTTTATAACAGAGACACAACTCTACAACAGGATTGGGAAAGCTTTCCAGAAAAAAAAAAAAGTAAAATTTACAGGAAGAATTGCATGGTAAGTTAAAAAGTGAAGGGTGAGTGAGGAGTGTTTTGAACTGAAGATATTCATGAAGGCTTGGAGAGACTAAAAGAAGTTTAGAATATCTGAAGAGGGTGGATATGAGAGATAAGGCCCTTGAGAAAGACGGGAACCAGCTAGTGCTGGGTCATTTAGACTTACTGTCTTTAATCAAGGGTAGGAGCATGGTTAGACTTGATTTCTTAAAAGATTGCTATCCTCTCAGTGGAGGATGGATTGGAAAAGAGCTAGCCTGTAAACAGGGAGTTGCGCTGAAGAATTTGGTAATACTGTGGCAACTGGGAATGGGAAGGTGGTTAGAAGAGGTTCAAGGTATTGAAAACTTTATGCTTAATTAGAAGGGGAGGAGTGGGTAGGCAAGAGAAATCAGAGATGATCCCCAGGGTTCTGAGTGCACATTTTTAGTAAAAGAAGGTTCTGTAAGCTTATTATTTCTTTCTTTTTTCTTTTCTTTCTTTCTTTTTTTTTAAAAAAAATATATTTTATTGATTTTTCTTGCAGAGAGGAAAGGAGAGAGCTAGAGAGCTAGAAACGTCGATGAGAGAGAAACATCGACCAGCTGCCTCTTGCACACCCCTACCGGGGATGTGCCCTCAACCAATGTACATGTCCTTGACCGGAATCGAACCTGGGACCTTTCAGTCCGCAGACAGACGCTCTACCGCTGAGCCAAACCGGTTTCGGCTTCTTCTTCTTCTTCTTCTTTTTTTTTTTTTTTAAAGAAAGAAATTCAGGTAAGTGAAGTTATGTGAAAGTAAAAGAAAGATGATGTTTTAGTAAGATTTCAATGGCTAGAATTTATTGACTTAGAAAAGATGGGAGAAAATGTAATCTTTATGGTTAAGTTTATTATTTTTATTGTTTTAAATTTGCATTTGTATGATAGGCTTACTGCCCATTGAGAGTTGAGTTGTGAATGCTGGACATAACACCTCTTTTTGCCAAGATCAAAATTGGCCATGAAGGACCAGCCTATAGGTATGAACTGTCAGTATACTGGGTTTCTGCTGCGACAGTTTATTGAGTAACCTTGAACCTTGAATTTTTGGAGCCACCACTTCTCTTTTGCTCCCCGTAGGTTTTCACACCTTATGCCTTTAAAAGGGATAGTAAAGGGCTCCTATCAATGGACCAGCGAAGACTTGGACTCCGCCTTCTTCTTCTAGGTCCCGCCTCCTTTCTTTTAAGACACACCCCCTTCACTGATCCCGCCTCTAAAAAAGTCGTCGCTGATATGACAGCGAATTCTCCACAACCCTGACCTATAGGAAATCTTAAAGGTGGGACCGCGATCAATCTTCTTGTCCATTTGTTAAATTAAGTGTCTATCTGGCACCAGTCCCAGCCCACTTCATCTCCAAGCAAAGGATTGGTTGCTCTGTTCTCGGTCCCCGGCTCACGATTGGTTCTTTCATTCCACCCTCTCTTCCAGCTTTGCACGCAGCTTCCTGCTCCTGCCAAAAAAAATAAAAAAAGAAGAAAAAGAAAAGAGGAGAGAGGCGAAAGAAAATGTCAGAGAAATCTTTGGGTTTTCATTCGCCGTTAGCCTTGTCGGTCAGGCCAAGCTCTGCCTCTCGATTGGCTTTTCTATCTGCCCATCCCAGAGAGGGGCGGGATTTCCCCAGGAGACCCACATCTCGTTGCCACTGGCCGAGCAGTGCGCCTGTCTGAAGCTCCGGCCCCAGGATTGGGAGCGGAAGCGGACAGGTGGGCGTGGATTGGCTCGGGAAGCCGGTCAGTGTGAGACGGGGGCGGGGCCTCGGCGGCTGGTTGCGCGTGTCCGCCGCTGGCTCCGCTCTATCCGGCTTTGCTAGGGGAGGTGAGTCTGGCCGCGGCTGCACCGGCGGCTGAGGAGGCGGCGGCGGCTGAGGAGACTACGGCCGCGGCGGCGACTGAGGAGGAGGAGGAGAAAGCGGCCGCAGGGACTGAAGCCGGGTGGGGGGGAGGGGGGGAGACGGAGCAGCCTTGAGCCCAGCGGGGGCCGTCGCGCGGGGGGACCCACCCGCTCTCCCCCCCAACCCTCGCAGAAGCGCCGGCGGCGGCGGCGGCGGCGGCGGCGGGGGGTAGGAATCTGCCCGCTTCCGACTGCACCCCGCCCGCTCCCGGGGAGGCTGCTGTTCTTTGGCCCCCGGGACCCTCACCTCATCCCCGGGGCGGTTCCCTCTGCCTGGGCGTCCGAGGGCTGCCCACCTCTCTTTCATTCCAGCCTGCACCTCCGTGCCTCCACTTTGCTCCCCTTTCTCCTCGCGGTCCTGCCTGCCTGCCGCCGCCTCGGCTCACTCTCTCCTGCTCCTTCCCTGGCTCTTTTCTGTTCGGGAAAGTTTAGTCTCTGTCTCTCTTTCCCCCCACAACCAGGTCAGCCTGACTGAGAGTCGGGGGAGATGTAGGGAGGCCTGAGAGTTCGCGGGGGGAGGCTGGTTTCCCTGAAAAATTTCCCCCATCTTTTTTTTTTTTTTTTTTTGGGGGGGGGTGGTTGGAAAAAATTTTAATTGTGGTTTTTTTGTGTTGTTTTTTTTTTGTTTTTTGTTTTTTTGAGGAGGTGGTAGGTGTTGAGAAAAGGATGTGGGGATGGAAGGGGTAGAGGAGTCAACTCCCTTACAAGATTCCCAGGGCGGCGCGTTACCTGGTCCTTTGCGCGGGCGGGGCTCAGGGGGTCGGGAGGCTGGGCCTGTATTCCCACATTCGAAGTTGGAGCCTCCCCCGAAGTAAGGATGGAGTTCTAGTACCCACTTGTGGCAGGAAACCTGGGGGGCGCGGGGGGGTTCCTTTTTCTTTTTCCTTTTCTTTTTCTTTTTCTTCGTTTCATTTTTTTGGCAATCCACACCCTTCCACACACACCCCAAAACCAAACACCAAGATCCTCTCTCACTTGTCTGGATTGACGGATGAAGAAGACGCAAAGCCAGTGGCGCTCCATGGTGGTTTTGGAGGTGGCGTGAGTGGTTTCGCTTCATTTTTTTTTTTTTCCCCCCAATGGCCAAATGACAGCTTGACCTAGTTTGCTTTCCAGTCAAAGGGCATTTTTTATTTTTTAATTTTTTATTTTGTGAATGTCTCTTTGTGGCGCGAGAGCCAACGCAAAAATGATGGCGGCTTACAATGGCGGTACATCTGCGGCGGCAGCAGGTCACCACCACCACCATCACCACCACCTTCCCCACCTCCCTCCTCCTCACCTTCACCACCACCACCACCCTCAGCACCATCTCCACCCGGGGTCGGCGGCGGCTGTGCACCCCGTCCAGCAGCATACCTCCTCGGCGGCTGCGGCAGCCGCAGCAGCAGCCGCGGCTGCTGCCATGTTGAACCCTGGGCAGCAGCAGCCATATTTCCCATCACCGGCCCCCGGCCAGGCTCCTGGACCCGCTGCAGCGGCCCCAGCTCAGGTACAGGCCGCCGCCGCTGCCACAGTGAAGGCGCACCATCATCAGCACTCGCATCACCCCCAACAGCAGCTGGACATCGAGCCGGATCGACCTATTGGATATGGAGCCTTTGGTGTTGTCTGGTGAGTATCAAGAGGAAAACACAACTACTTCTTTCTCATGGTTTCTTCTCGTGGTGGTTGTGACTTGGACACGTCACCTCCTAACGGTTTTCTCCATGCTGACCAAAGGGGAGCGAGACACCCTCACTTCACATGGTAAACAGGAAGGCAGGGTGTCACTTGCATGGTAAAGAGGCCTAATGCATAGGCCATCTAAGCTTATACTTTTTTTTTTTTAATATATTGGTTTTACACAGAGAGGAATTGAGAAGGATAGAGAGTTAGAAATGTTGATGAGAGAGATACATCGACCAGCTGCCTCTTGCACACCCCCTACTGGGGATGTGCCCACAACCAAGGTATGTGCCCTTGACCGGAATCGAACCAGGGACCTTTCAGTCCGCAGGCCAACGCTCTATCCACTGAGCCAAACCGGTTTTGGCCTTTTTTTTTTTTTTTTTTTTAATTGTTAATCCTCACCTGAGGATACTGTTCCAGTTGATCTTTTAGAGAGAGTGGAAGAGAGAGGGAAAGACAGAAACATCGATGTGAGAGAAACACATCGATTGATTGCCTCCTGCAGGCCGGCCCAGGGCCCAGGACCAGAAGGAGCCTGCAGCCAAGGTTCGTGCCCAAGGTTCGAACTCGGGATCCTTTGGTCCATAGGCCAGTGCTGTATCCACTGGGCCATCCGGCTAGGGCTAAGGTTATGCTTTTGAGTCATGTCAAATTTTGGTGGAGAATCTTCTGAGGAGTAACACACGTAAGTTTGCCGTCTACCGAACTTTTAGTTTAGAATCTAACCAAGCCACAAAGTGTGGGATCAATAGATAAAGGTGTGAAACTTTTTTTGCTGCAAAAACCTTGGGCATCTCTCCTGTTTAAGAGTGAATCAGCCAGAACCAGTTTGGCTCAGTGGATAGAGCATTGGTCTGTGGACTGAAAGGTCCAGGGTTTGATTCCGGTCAAGGACATATACCTTGGTTGCGGGCACATCCCCAGTAGGGAGTGTGCAAGAGGCAGCTGATCGATGATTTGTCTCATCGATGTTTCTAACTCTCTATCCCTCTCTCTTCCTCTCTGTAAAAAATCAATAAAATATATTTAAAAAAAAAAAAAAGTAAGAGTGAATCAGTTGCCCAGTTGCAGCAAATGTCACAACAGACCCAAACTCCATTCCCTTTAATCGTTTTACCATTGCGATATACCTTGCAAAACTACTTTGCTGCCCTGCCCGTCTTTTCAGTCCTTCGTTTGAGATCTTGATCCCCAGGAAGAAGATAGGGCTCATATTTGAACCAGTTAAGTCACTTCTTGCGTGGTTTATTTTAAACTGTAAGGCTACAGTTGGGAAGTGTTTCGCTTCAGCCTTTTGATAAGAATGCATTAAATATAGCATCACACATGAGTACCACAAATGAGGTCAGTAGAGGGTAGCTATACTGTGGCCCACATTTGGTGTAATGTTTTAATGTCATTTAGTGCTTCTGAATTTGCTCTTGTAACTTGGTTGGTTGCTGTAGTAGGAAGTAGACTTTTTAAACTTACGAAACTGCTCTGCTTTTGCTAGTGCTAAGGTATTTCTCTAAGTCCAAGGGTTTCTTAAATGCAACATTGTGTCTGTTCTTAGGAAGATTGGTAGTTTATAATAAAATTTGTTTATCATTATAGGGTTCTATTTGTATCCAAACTAGGGTGAACTGAGTTTTTCCACCAAGGATTCAGTGCTGTGGTGTGGATAGATGAATTGATGTTTTGAGTGCATTCAAAAATATATTCTTGTTAAATGTCTAGAAAAAGCCCCCATCACCACAGGCAAATGAACAAACTCTTTGGAACTTGCCTGGTACATGTCACCTTTCGTCATTGTTTTTCAGGCTCTAATTGATGAATATCATTTTTGCATTGTATCTGGCCATCTTTATATATATTTAAGGTTTTATAATGTAGGCTGCTGAAGTGATCTGATCTGTTTGTGTTCTTTTTTTGTTTTTGTTTTAAACTAGTAGTGTTTTCCCAGCTAAGTCTCCCAGGAGATTGCAGCGGTAGTACTCCCTTCTCTGAGGCGTGTGGGATTCCTGGTGGCAGAGTGTATGTAGCCAGTAATGGTGCCTCTTTGGTTGTTCTGCTCAGGGACCTGCCTGTTCCTGCCTTCCTCTCTTCTCTTCCATATCCTATCCTCAGGGATTGCACTGTGAACATCCTTCCATTTCTTGCCTGACCCTTGAGGATTTCAAAGCTTGATTTGGGGCCCACAAAGGGGGAGGGAAAGGGAGGCAGGAAAAAAGTTGTTCCTTGCTTTAAATTTTGTCATTGATTTACTGAGAATTGGGGTGGATTTTCTTAGCCATGGATATTCTTTCATTTTAGTGCTTTGCATACAACACTAAGAACTAGAGATACTGAAAGGGAAATGGGTTGTACTTCCTATACTTTAAAGGTGTTACTTACATTTCTACCAAATGGTGATGTTACCTGTAGAAATTTTAACTTCAAGTTGGTGGGTGCTAAGGGAGAGGTTTTTATTTTTAAAGGAGAGGGAGGTAAGGAATTGGAGTGCTGAAACATCACCCACAGTGAACATTCTGATAAATAGGTATTCTGAATTAGTGGTATATTAAAATCCCAATATGCTTGATTTGAATTCATTCTAGATTGTTCCATCCATTGACCCCTTCTATATACTTTTTTCTATATACTTGAAGTGCCTCCTCCTGTGCACTGTCTTCTGTTGTATTTGCTTGTCTCACTGACTACATTTATAAGTCCCTTAGGGTTAAGGTCTGTGGTCTACAAAAATACATTTTTTTCCTAGCGGGTTTGGCTCAGTGGTAAGAGCATAGGCCTGCATCCCGAAGGGTCACGGGTTCAATTCCAGGTCAAGGGCACGGTCTTTGGCTGCAGGATCAATTCCCCAGGGCAGGGCGTGTATTGGAGGCAATCAATCTATGGTGTTTCTCTCTTATCTATGTTCCTCTCTCCTCCCTCCCTTACATTCTTCTCTAAAATCAATAGTAAAATATCCTCTGGAGAAGATAAAAAAAAAAAAAATTAAAAAAAAAAAAAGACCTACGTTTTTTCTCCCCAGCACTTCGCACAGTGCTGTGGCATCTTTGCTGCTTGGTTACTTGATCTGCTCAAAATTTCTACAGGTAACCTTCTTTGTTCTTTAGCCAAGTTTTTCTAGTTATTATATTGAGTGTTTTTATCAGCTGTTACAGGTGAAATACAATTTGGTATGGAAAAAAAGAAGAGTTCCAGGTGTGTGTTTTAGTATGCAAATGCTTTTCTATTTTTATATTTCCATATTGTTGACTTGCTGGCTGAATTGCTTATTATAGTATTTGGAATTTAACTGCTATGTGACCTAAGATTGTTAAAACCAGAGATCTGAACACCAAACTAGAGTGAAGTGCACTCATATTCGGAAATCCAAGCTAAAAATATTGATAAGGTGTTATACTTTTCAACTACAACTGAACCAGAATTTTTCTTTTTACTTTAGAAAGGATCCAATAAAAACAACTTTTTAAAAATGAATACAGTGTAACATAAAATATTCTCCCAATGATATATCATTTGATTCATAGCACCATATACCTACTTGGATATTATAAGATTCAAATATATTTATTGCATTTTTCAAGTATTTTTCTTCTGGCATGGCATAGGAAAGGAAACTATATCTGCTTTCATGATATTTTTTTTCTGGACATGCACCCAGTTGGTACTAAATGGTGGCTAAAAATGCTGCATGCAATATTTTTTTTCCAATTCTTAATCAAGGGCACTTTCTTCATTGATTCTAGAGACAGAAAGGAAGGGAGAAGAGGAAAAGAGAGAGAGAAATAGAGGGAGGGAGAGGAAGAGGGAGAGGGAGAGAGAGAGAGAGAGAGAGATATCAATGTGAGAGCGGAACAAAGATCATTTGCCTCCTGTATGTGCCCTAGCCAGAGGTTGAACCCCCAACCTGGGTATATTTCCTGACCAGTGACCCTTGGGGTCCAGGATGGCGCTGAGCAACACCAGCCAGGGTGACTGTTGTGATTTTGAGGGATATTGTTGTTCCTCCATGTAGACAAGGAGAGATTTTTACAGAAGTGATGTAGCATTTTACCATTCAGATTTATCACTGAATAGTTTAGTCTGCCAGGCTTGATTCTCTTTCTGCTAAATTTAACTAGTGGAATAACTTACCAGTATTGGACGGTCGTGTAAAAGTAATGAATTACCTATTAGCTTGCTGGTTAAGATGGTGCTTTGACAGTTCAATTGAGGTTTCATTAACAACTATCTGCTGTTGCTTTCTCTCTAAGTCAGGGTCCCAGTTTACCTGGCAATATGATCATGGGGTAGCATGAGATACATTCATTGCCTATGATAGAATATTGCTCATGGGTTATCAAAGCATCATATATAATTTGACCTTTATCAGATGCCAAGGCTTCCATATACTAGTATACGGTCATTTTCATAATGTAATGCAAAACCTAAACACAAAACAGTGCACAAAAAGAAACCTGAGCCTGTGGGTGAGGCTGTCATGAATACCTTTTAGTCCATAGTTCATTGTTGCCAGAAGAAAGTATGTTGTGCATAGAGAGATATGACAACTCTGGGACAAAGAGTATTACAGTTTACAGTATAGATTTCAGGGTCTTATGAGGTGTATATTTTTGACAGTTGGAGGAAGTTGACTACATGAGGGAGGTTTGAGAACTGCTAAATCCAGGCAGTTTTATTACTGGCAGCCTGAACTGTTAGAGATTGAACTAATGGCACTTATTGCCATTTTGATAAAAGTGAGTCTGGGAAAAGTTGTTTTGTTTTTTTACTTATCTGGTTAATTGAAAGCTAAAGACCCTGGAATTAATTTGGTCTGGTGCCTTTGTACTCCAAGTAAAGTTGGAGAACTTTGAATTTTATTCTAATACCTTCTGCTTGAATTTTATTCTCATACCTTTTGCGGGTTGCTGTTCTTTAAGTCTTTCAAAACTTAAGCATCACTGTATTTATGTTTA